GTGTGAACAACCCAACAGGGAAAGGAGCCTTATTGGAGGGCCTGGGGCAGTGCTTTGTGACCTTCACTATCATATCAATATTTGCTTTTTTTTCTACATACATTTCAAATTAAACTAAACACATGTGACTATTAATGGATATTTTTTGTCCAAATCTGTGAATTTGTTTTGCTCAAGAGAAATCTCAAAAAAAAAAAAAAAAAACAAAAAAAAAAAAACACTATAAAATTCAGTATTTTTATCTATAATGTTGACTGTGATAAAATTATTCAACTTTTTAACAAATTCCTGTAAAACCTTGTTGATTTATTTAAGATGGAATAATCTATTATGACAGGTCTCTAATTTGTATTTAGATATTTATTTTCAATTTTTTTAGTTGAATTGTTCACCTGTATTGGATATGATCCTTTATTGTACATAATTAGGCTACAGTAAAGTTTGTATTTTATATGAATACTACCTTATGAAATTTGAGGTGTAGTAGAGTGGGGGGAGAGGGGCATATCATAGATATGAATGTGAGTTTCATAGATTCAGATGGCAAGCATGAGACCCTTGTACTGGCCATGATCCTATGAGTGTTAAATTCTCCAGGTCCTCTTTCCTTATTCATTTCAGCTGTTTCTATCTAATTGTCAGTATCAGTTTCCTTGAAATTTCTTTTTTCATTAAATCTTCCTCATATTTTTGTATTCTGAACCCCCCCCACTTCTGCTACTTCAAATCTCTTTTTCATCTGTGAAGGCATTGGCCAGCAAAGGACATTTACCTAGCACTTAATAATACTTTGCTTAGTTTCTGAAAAGTACCTTTTGATTATTCATATGCACTTTCAGATTCCTTTTGCCATTGTCACTAGTCCTTCTCTTAAGGTGTTCAACTTACTAACCTTACCTAAGGTTATATATTGGTTCTTAACAAAATGAGTCATTCTGGAGTTTATTCCTTTGTAGTTTAGGCATAGCATTAGGCTTCTTTATTTTTGCACTTTGTCTCTTTAGTTCACATATGCCTGGGTGTTGGTTGCTCTCACAGTCAATTCTTAGGTATGTTTTAGAGTATAGTACTGAATTATATTGTTATTAACATCCAATGAAATTATCCCATTTCTTAGCAGATGCTCAAGATATCATGCTGGTTTTTTCCAGGCATTTCTTAGGATAATGGGAGTAATTTGGTAGAGCCCATTTCCTCACCAAGTAACATGTAGCAGGTCAGATGAGGTTACATGGTATCAGCTGTACGTGTGTGTGTGGGAGGGGGTGCTGAGTGTATGAGATTCATGCTTTTCCTGTTTCAACATCTTTGTTTTCAGTTATTTTCTCAGGTGTGTATTTCATTTGATAACATTTGAAAAACATTGAACAAAATCCTTTATTTAGTCCACAGGAGTGGACAAGTTCCAACAAGAATGAGACTATTGTCATATCTCAGAACTCATGACTACCAATCCTTCCTCATGGACCCAATGTATGCCTCTACTCTAGATTACTGCACTACCTAACAGGGAGTGAACTCACAACTTTTAGGGAAATATCTAACATTACTTTTATCATAAATCTAATAGCTGTTCTCTTATTAGTAGCACCCATTTGGTACTAAAGGCTATGCTGGTTCTACTGACTGGATGATTTGAGTATAGTGAGTGAAAAACTTCTTTCATGCATATATTTCTTGTCTTGCTCAAACCCAGAAATAGAAACCTATGCACACAGTATTTACAGAAGAAGCTGAACAAAAGATTAAACATACAACCACTCTACATAATAATAAAAAAAAGTTTCTTTTCAGAAGCCTGGCACTAATTTTGCAGAGTAAATGACATTACGATAATAATATAAAATTGTTTCCGAGACCAACAATGAATATTGAATTACAATTTCATCTCTAGATAGGAAATTGATTCAAGAACATGAATTCATTTTCAGGACAATTGTTTTTCATTCTTTTATTATAAATTATTGTAAGTATTTCATGATGGCAATACAACATTTTTCACTCAAGTATGTTAGGTATCTATCACTGCTTTTATATATATATATATATATATATATATATATATATATATATATATATATATAAAGGAGATAACGATATATATATATATATCAAGAACAATATTAGGAAAATGTACAACAAAGTGGAAAGAGTTTTCTTGTGATATGCTTTAAGGACTTCATTGGACTAAATTTGTTATATTAGTGCAACTACACATGCACTGGGAATTTTAAATCAATTTTTTTTTTTTTTTAAATTTACCCAGCCACACCCACACTAAAAGCTATTATTTTTTTCTATATATTTAGTACTCATGGGGGAGCTATTTGACTGAAGCTAGTAAGTTCTTGAGGTCCTCTTTGTTCACTGTAAGTCTGACACAAGTATAAATTTAGGCTGATCTGACCTTTTATCTTTTTCTATACTTGGGTAAATAATCTGTAAATATTGGAGGAAGAAAAGCCAAGATTATAAAAAAAATGAGATCAAGGAAGGAGGCCCTCCCCAGTAATGCACACCTGCATACAAAAACAGTCGTTATGTAAAATCATAGACAGTAAGCTGTATTAGAAGCCGAATAGAGATTATCTAGAAAGACGGGGAAGGACATAGTTGTTCAATGGGTGTTTGTCATTTCAAGTAGAGAGCATACTGAATTGAAAAGATTCTAAGCCACAAAGAATGCTCATAAAAAACAAAAAACAAAACAACAATGAAAAATGGCAACACAACAGTCTTTTACTTTGCAAGAATGTTAAATCTATCTTTTGTAAACAGTTTTGTCTGTTTTTCATTGTTTCTTTACCAGGGGAACATGTATAGTTCAATAGCTACACATTGTTCTAAAGATGGAAGAGTTTATAAATGCAGAGTGATCTGAGAAGGATAAGATGGAGTAAACTTAATAATAAAGAATAATAATGAAAATATTTCATTTAAAAAAAAAAAAAAAAAAAAAAAAAATTTCCAAAAAAGATAATCCTACTATTCCTAGGTAGCAAGACAAAGATGGCATATAGAATTGGAAAGGAAACTGTGGCAGAATAAGTGGTTAAAGTAATGTTCATGAAAGATGGGCTCCCAAGGTTTAGAATTAAATCTTGTCAGAAGCTCCCCCCACTTCCCCATTTTCATATTTTGTTTGCAGTCAAGGAGAGTACTGATCTAGAGTTGTCTGATGAGAAGCAATAAGATGAAACACAACTAGTTATAAATAAAAATACCTACATGCTGCTTTCTGATCTGAGTGTGGATGAAGCTGTAACCCTATAACGCGACAGGGTTAACGGACAACAGCATATTGCTTTACAGTGATTTCTTTTTCTTTTTTTTAAGGATCATGTTTTCTTTTTTTTTTTTCTTGGGGGGGGGTAATAAAAAATTAGTTACCATTCACCCAAATTATGAATGCAAAAGCATTATCATCTCATAATGAGAGAAACCTTTTAAAGATTTAAACTGAACTCATAATTAAAGGACATTTTTAACAGAATGTTCTGTGATTTATTAAAAAAAAAAAAAAAAAAAAAAAAAAAAAAAAAAAAAACCTTCTGGTCTAAATAAGTACATTAATAAGCCTTTAGCCTGATGATGCTTCACCATTAATCACATTGACTTTCCCTTATAAGACTGGAAATTTAAAAATTGACTATTTAATCTTTGATGACAAGAGTAAGTGTGTATAATAATTAACAATAAATATGATAAAAATAACAAACTCATAATATTACTACATTAAACACCATTATTAAGACACTTGTTGGACTATACACTTATAAAATTCTATACAAAGTATAAGAGGATGCTGTAAAGTTATTGGCGTTTTTCAAAGAAAATAATGAAAGACAATGTATATATAAATGATATATTTACGAAAATATCACACAAAAGTGGGACACTTGTGTAGAAAAGTAAACATAACAAGCAAAATTTTCAAATGATTAAAAGTGTAGTGAACTGAAAATGGCATAAGTTGGTTTGACGAAAAGAAAAGTAAATACAAGGGGGGTGCTGAAAAGTTCTTTGCCATGACCTATTTACCTCAATATGACCAAACAAAACATTGTTTTTGCTTTTTGTGGAAGAGCATCATGGTTGATCAAGAACTCAAGATCAGCACCCTCTTCTAGAAATGAAATAAAAGAATTCCCATTTTCCTATTGTAAACTAATAGTTATTATTTTCTAGATAAGTGGAAATTGAACTTGTTTTCATATTTGAGCCAAGTTTATGCTGAGTAAGAGGTCAAAGCTTAGATCAGCTGTTTATAACAAGTACTTAGTTCTGAAAAGGAATCCCACAAAACAATTCTATTAAGAAGAAAGTGAAAGAAATTAAATATTTACATTAAAAAAAAAGGAAAAAAAAGAAGCCTATTTTACAATTTTTGTTATCAGTTAAATATTATTGCCATTATTCAAGTTTTATTTTCATGGCTATAGGTAGAGGTGTTTCGTACAGCAATTAATAACTAAAAAGAAAATAAAGGAAAATTCAATTTGTTATTAAGTTTCCAATGGCAAGGAAAGAAAAAAAAAATCTGAAAAGTAGAAAAATATATAGGGGTGGGGATAAAAGTGTTCCCTGAAATGTGCTTCTTAAAAGCACACATTTTTCTTGTTAGAACATTAATGGTAAAAGAGAAATTACAGTCTTGCACTGAACAATAATTATTATGATAGAAGATATTTCCGCAAGAGGAAAGGAGTAGAGTCCCTCCCCTCCCATGATGAACAAAAGAATTCTTTTTGTCAAAATCTTCTGCTGTATCCAGTAAACATGCCAAATTTGAGGACCCTATAATATATGGTTTTGGTGTGTAGTGTGAACAATTCTAATTATATAGGTAAGTATTGTATTGATTAATAGAATTAATAAATTAAAATTAATGAAGCCTCATTAATGTATTAGTTTTTATTGAAATGTGTAACTTGGTTTTTATTGTATTTTAAATAATTAAAACAATTTTCAGAATAGAAAAAAGTTTGAAATCAACTTACGTGTTGAGGGAATTCACTAATGCACATTGCTTGTATGAGATCAGGAAACTTTGGTTTTCAATATTTGTGATGGTCACCTGTAAAGGAAAAAATAATTCATAAATATATAATTAAATAAAAAAAATTGTCAGGAGAGCAAAATATATTTGATTAAAAAAAAACGAAAAAAACAACAAAAAAAAAAACAAAAAAAAAAAAACAGGAAACGCTTTTGGGAAACATTCTAAAAATTACTCAAATTTTCAATGATGTAACAAGTGTGCTGAAAAGTTCTAGACCCATCCAATTCCCCAAATGACCAAATAGCAGAATTTATTTGGGAAACCTTTCTTGTTGGTCTGAGAATTTTTCCACATCCTTCCTCACATATCTTCATGCAAACAGGAGTTAAGATCTGCTCAATTCTTTGAACAAATGTAGAGATTTTCATGATTATTATACAGAATATCACGTAATCAACAGATAAAATTTTTTTAAAACTTAAAGCGAAAATATACCATTACGTTTATTAGTTGTGTCAACAATACAGGCATCAGTTTTATTAGTTTATCATTAATTGATGCACTCATATAAGAAATGACTAAAAAAATTTAATTCTGTTTACAAAATATTACTCAATATGTAAGAGCAAAATATCTTCTAATTAAATTTCCAGGCTTTTTATTCACAAACTTTATTGTACATGATCTAAATATTACTGTCAATAGGATAAAGAAACGCATAAAGAAAAGCATAAACTGGCAAAGAATGAGCTGTCTTAATGGAGCTTGGATTAACCAAATATTTAAAAATCGTCCCTTACCATAAAAGAACCTATCCAAGTAGATTATTACTACTGTAGTGTGTTCTATTTGTCAATAGAACACAGCACTCTAATCCTTACTTTCCAGCCTTAACAGAGTGCAGAAATGTTGCACAGCCTTGTGGGTGATGAATTCTTTTCAACAGATGAAACATTGCTAGCCTTTAGCTACTGTATTGTAGCAAGATTAAGAAGGAAAACTCCCATCAGTACTGGAAAGAGTGATAATAGCAACTAGTCTTGAAAATCCTATTTTCATGAAAATTTCTTTTAAGAGAAAGATTTTATAGATTTCAACCAATAGTACAAGCTGCTTGGTCAATGAATGCCAAATATTTCCTATCAAGGAAATGGCTAATATTACCATTACTATTTTCATTGCAAATATTCAGGTGACATAGCTTTTTTATTTTATTTGTTTCAAACATTTGTGTAAATTTTGCACATATTTTTGCACATATTCTGCACTTAGAATTTATGGTCAACTCCTTGTGCCATTCCTGAATGTACCTGGCCCCTTCAACTATACTTTACAAGAGTTGAATCAGACCAAAAATGGGGTAATATCTCAGCTGAAGCAGACCAATTTTTTCTTTCCAGCCTTGACAGAGTAGAAAAGCATCTACGTGTCTTTGTGGATGATGAATTATTTTCTGCATATTAAATATGAGTGCCACATCATGTAACCATGTCACGAAAGTCTGACAGACAAGTGCAATTGTACCGAGTTTAATCATCACACTGGACACAAATGTGTGACAGCAACCGATGATTATGATGATTGGACAAAATCAACAGATCTCTATTTTATTGGCAACAGACTACATTTTAATTTTTCTTATTCCCCACTGCCTTTACTACTACTCCACCATTCTTCTCCCAAAGTCATATTTTGCATATTTGTTGGATTTCATAGAAGATATTAGACTATAGAAATATGTATTTGATAAACACAATATCAATATACATGAATAATGAAAAATCACAAAAAAACTGTTCAAAAAGCCCATTTTTCAACCAGAACTCCCTGGTTTTTCATCCAATGCTTTTCAAATTTGCCAAGTAAATGACATATGACACACAAATTGTCTTGCTTGAATGTTTGGTTTAGATTATTTCAGTTAAATGGACAAAATCTGTGACAGACTAGGTCCAAAATCAGCTTTTGCCATTTAGCCAATAGTTTCTTCATATGATTCCATCCTAAATTAGCATTTGAACAATCTTTGATACAAAGATTGTTTGAGAAGGATTATTGAAGTGTTAAAAGGGAAAAATTCCCGAAGAACCTCTTATTAACAGTAAACATGCGAAGAAGGAGGGGGCGTTCATGTGTTTGCACTTGCAGTTGAATCAAGCTCTGACGCTTCATCTCTGTTTTTGTTTGATTATTAGATTTGTAAACAATGCCATACTATTTGAAAGTTATTACAGCCATAGGAAATTTACTGAATATCTAAAACATTGAAACAATTTATCCCTGAGCAACGACGACACAAGAAGGTTTTATTGATGGAATTCCTTTAAGAACAATCAAACATTTGTGAAGGATTTACTGTAAAAAAAGATGAGTGGAGGTGCAGCTTAGTATACCAATGGATGATACATGCAAGTGGGGACACAGGCTGACATTTCTAGAAAGTGGGGATGCAATATACGCGGAGGGGGGGGGGAAGGGTATACAATTGCAGCCATTTACACCTGGGCAACACTGGGTACCTGAGCTAGTACTGTATATAATTTTGTTTAAGCTGACTTCATGTATAGTACAACCCCTGATTTTTTCTGTATGAATTTTAAACCTTCCACAAAATAATTACCTGTATATAGTGCAATCGGTCACCAAAAATGCATGATTTTTCACATCCTCAAAAAAAAAAAATACCCTATTTTTTTGCATAAAAATCTGATCATAAAAACTTGTACTATACTCACACATATATGGTAATAACTTATATGAGTGGGTATTGAAGAGTTCTCAGACTGACTTATTAAAATCTGACTAAATGGCCAAATAAAAGATTACTTTTTAAATCCTTCCTTAGTCAAGCAGCGATTCCTTCATTTGAAAAATTAAAGCAAAGTTTTGAAAAGAAATTCAATATAATCTTTTTTAATGAATTAAACAAATTTAAAATGAGGCAATAGAGATTTAGTGCAGAATTTAATTTCTTCAAGCCATGAATATTTCCGATGTTTTCCTGAGGAGTAAATGTGATTATTTGAAACTGTCATGGGAACATATATTCTTGGAGAAAGTCTGAAAATATATTTTGATTTTTATAGCTTCTTTTATGTTCTTAGATTATATACCCAAGTGTCTTTCTGTTTTACAGAGAGTGAAGGATTCACATTTTGTTAAATCTAATTTTAGAGTTGAACATCAATAGAATGCACAGTCATTTGAGAGAAGATTCCATAAATGATCTTTGATAATAAAACCAAAACTCATTTTTTTTAGCTTTCATTCTCAAATATCTTGCTATTTAAAATTATAGGATTGGCATTCTTCACATTTATATTATTTTATCAAACATTACATAGCCTGGAACAGCAATAGAATACTGCCTTTATCAGAGAGATGATTCCATAAATGATCTTTGATAATAGAACCAAAACTCAGGTCTTCAGCTTTCATTCTCAAATGTCTTACCGTTTCAAATCCATCACATATATTTTATCTAACATTTCAGACAATGCTACTTTCATTTGATACAAGATTCTATTTACTAGATGGAAGAGAATAAAGATCAGTTTTAAATTTAATTTTATTTGAGGACTGCTAGAAAACATTTCTGTAAGGAAGTTTCAAATATTTGAATGTCTTCAGAAATATAAATTCCCTGATTGATTCTATGACTGACTGAACATCCACTCAATGCAAAACAAGTGATGAAACATTTCAAGAATATCTTCCAATATAAATATAAGCATAAATATTCGTCAAACCCATCATGCTCATCTCAGAATTATATTTTTTCTAGTGCTCTATAAATCTTCTTGCATTTCTTTTTTTTTCTATAATTTTTAAGGCCCATGTAATCAATATTCAAGAGGGTTCATGTTTTATAATGCTTTCTGATGAGAATATAAAGATACTGGGACATTCTTTAATATCTAAGTATGGTTAGTGAAATTATATATATATATATATATATATATATATATATACACATATATATATATATATATATATATATATATATATACACACACAGGGTGTCCATAAAGTTCGTGTGCACTCTAAAAAATTTATAACTTTATTTGTATTTGCGATAGAAATAATTTGTAAAAAGGATTAGAAAGAAGTAAATCTATATTTTTTTTAAGGTTTTATTGAAATTTTATTTAAGTTTCTAAATGTCCTCCATCATTAGCAATACAAAGGGTAATACGATTTTGCAGTTCATGGAAAACATTTGCCAACTGACTTACAGTAATGCCTGAAATCACATTAGTTATTTTAGCTATACTTAAAACTAGGTACATTAAACTTTATAACATTTTTAACAGAATATTTCTATCGCATATACAAATAAAGCTATAAATTTTTTAAAATGCACACGAACTTTATGGACACCCTATATATATATATATATATATATATATATGGGATGGAGACCAAAAGTGAAGTGGAAATTAGTAATTAAGAAGTATTGTTTTCATTTCAAGCATTCCAATTATAGTTGATTCAAAGTTTCTTCTTATATGAGATGTAAGTATGGTTCTTCCAATAAAATAAAGAGGTGTGTGAAAAATTAACTGACATCTACTATGAGATGTAGAGTCAAAAATAAAACACAAAGATGTGATTGATTCTTAAGGAATGATTTGCAGCCCTTAACTTTAAATTTAATATAGGAAAATTTCTCTAGTCTTTTTTTTTTATTTATTTAATATTACTTAGAATTTTATTCTTTGAATAAAGGAACAGTTTTATTGATTTTAAAAAATACTGTGAAAAATTGGTAAAATCCTTTTAAACATTTTTTGTTTCATTAAAATTTTATAAGATTTTCACTGCTAGCATTTTTTTCTATTTAGTATGAAATCAACTAAAACACAGGCCAATGTTCATGCAGCAAAATAGTAACTCAACTCTTCATTAATCGATTGTTTTGCATACATTAATGTTAACTTCTTGAATACAAAAGTATTCAATTATGAGATTTGTTACTATCTTCCCAGATGAGAGAGGAATTTTTTTTTTTACAGTGAGGTTCATCCTGTACAAGGCCCAAGAGCCACTGAAAGTAGAGGGTTAAAGAGTAAGAG